CAATGAGTTCCAAGTCCATCTTTATTGTCAAGATTTATAATATCAGTTTTACGATATCTTGAGTCATTTGAAGTAAGGTTGTTTCACATAAATACCCCACGCAAATTGGAAATTTTTAGTTTCTTAGGATATGCAAGTAAATCTATCTTGGTTTATACTCAATCAGAAATTTTTACTTCATTAATTTTTTTCAAACCATTCCCAACATATGGCTTCCAGTAGATACCTAATCCAGCTTTATGTAATCGAAGTTTAAGACCTTTTTCAAGTGTAATAGCATGCATAGTTATGTTGGATCTTTGGCTTTCTTGCAGCTGCAGTTTAGCAGTCTTACTTACATTCATACTTTTTAATATTCCAGCTACACCATTAGCTTGTGCACTGGTTGCATTGAAACCAGCAAATAAGAGTATTTAGAGTAGTAAGCCACTAGTTCAAGTAGAACAAGATATTTTTACACTATTCTTACCACCCACTTTCTTAACTACACTATCTACCCCCTTCAAAGCCGAAGTAATAACCTTGTGTGGATTTTTTTTTTGGTATTTATTTTCCATGATGTAGTGCTAGTGACTCTACGCAAGAAAATGCACGGTCTCTTCTTACTTTTCACACCCATATAAAATTTACTTTTAAACCTTATAGTACTAGCAATAGCTAAAGTGACTGCTTTTTCCTCAACACTTGAATCTCCAGCATTAACTCTTTGCCAAGCTTTCCCGGCTAAGACTCTATCGGCTGAGTTTCTAGCTTTGATGTTTTCTTGATTCTAAGAATACGCTATATCGTAATCCTTGCACGCTTCATCTAGTGTATTTATTCCTAGATTACCTCTGGATAGCTGGATTTGTAAAGTTTAACGGGTAAAGTGCTTATAATCTCATTCAGAAGACCCCTTCCTCTATTATCGTGTATGATTATCACTCTTTGGAGGTTGAATCACGACTGAGCTGAAGAGAAGAAAATCAGCATATTTATAATCTGCAAGACAAAAATATGCAACCACAAGAGTATACAAGCAGTTTTTCTATGGACTAGACGTGAGTAGTAGTCCAACCGTTGTACGGAGCAGACATGAAATTTAAAAAGAATTCTTGAAATTGCAGGTTCCTACCTTAGATGCTGTTGTAAAACAGAAAAAGTGCTCTAGTTAACACGGTGACTCACTACCTGTCGTATTTAAGCTGTTTTCTACGGTGCATGTTATCGTGGTAAGACAAACAGTTTACTAGCGCTAAATATACATTTGAACGGACTATTATTTCATAAAATTTATCAGTATTGAAAGTCGTGAAACCAACCAAAATATAAGTTCTTAAAAGATCTATTGAAGCGTATAGATGGTGTGCAATACTTTCATTCTAGACAACATAAAGCAGTAGTGCCTCTAGACAATGCACTACAGGACTCTATTATAATTTTTGATGATACTGCATGCAAAACACAAAATAATGTAAAAGCTGTCTACTGCATGAAAAGACATGAAAATATCTATTGTTTTTATCTATATCAGTCATGTATACAAGTATCAAAGCACCTTGTAAGAGATAACGTCAATCTTCTAGCTCTATTTAGTCAAGTTGAACTTAATTTACAACATGTGGATGATGATCAAGTCAATTTTGATATGTCCTACAATAAACTTGAAGATCTATACTTAAGCTGTTGGAATGATAATAAATATGATTTCGTTGCTATCGACAAGGATAGGCAGATGAGCAACGGCTGATACTGCACTGGTTTCCACAGTTTTGCTATGAATATAAAAAGTACATAGTGCGAGCTAATCAGTCTACTTTGAGACAACAATGCGTTAACATGTATAGGAGACAAAAAGACGTCCTTCATCAGCTGGAAAAGACAAGAAAAGTCTTGAAAAATAAATAAATATATTATTAAAGTTTGAAAAACACAAGGCTGAAAGAGAACTTAGTGAGACTTTATAGCCAACCATCGGTCCTTTACAACAAATCGTGACGCAAACAGAAAAAGGGAATAAAAGGACTAATTTTTTTAAATAATACTCTGACACGGAAGCTGCCCAATACACAAATAAGAAAGAGAAAAAATGCAGCGACGATGAAGATACTGATGATGATGATGATGGTGATGATGATGATGACGATGACGATGATGATAATGATTTACAAATAAATGTAGATAACAATGAAATTAGGATAAATGAGATAAGATTCCCACTGACAGTTGGGTTAAAAAGCTACTTGTAAAAAAACATTCTGATACAACTTGCATTACTCAAGATGCTTTGGGTAAATATTATGTACTTCTAGAAACTTCAAGAGCACATAGAAAGGGTTTTAACTTAAATGGACCTACTCAAACGCATGATAGTGATAAAATCAAAAAAATTATAGCTCTAATGTTGTATCCAATGGGCAATAAAAGGAAGGGATCATTGTTACTTTACTGAAAAATTGTTCATCCAACGCATTAGCAGCGACAAGTAGATTATGTACACTAGGTCGATCCAAATGAGCTTGTGGATCGTTTCTGCTTACTTATAGTTGAGATTGGCAAGAAATCTAAGCTATGATAATAAAATAATTTTTATTATTTAAGAATAACAAGAAGAAGGGTATATATACTAAGTCAAAGGTGAATTCAAGTCAGTATGGCAATGATCATTGACGTATTTGGACATAAGTTATATAAAACTAAGGACAGCAGCTAAGGCCATCCTGGTACTAGATATAAAGTTACTGCTGATGGTTAATATCACGTTTATTAATAGCTTGAAGAAAAGATTCTCAAACTAATTTTCAGTATTCTTTTTCTTTTCAGTATTCAGATCAAAGTAGGGCTTTAACCACGCTTTGATTCAATTTCAAATCTTTATGTATTTTATGTAAGAATAATCCATGTTTTAAGGCTCGATAGTGTATGATATGACGTTTCTTATTGAATTAAGTAGTAATTAGTTCTTTCTGCTTTGTACCAGGTGGTGTTATATGTTCAGGATATAAAGGTAAATCTTTGTGGTCATCGTATAAGCTCGAAGGATACTCCATGTCAACTTTTAATATAAAGCCGTAAAAGTAGTTGTCTAAAGCATGAAAAAATTGTAATCTACTTAGATTATTCACTCATTCAAACAGGGTAAGGTCTGCACCATAGCCCAACCGTAGAGATTATTGGTATTGTAGTACACAAGGAATTTTTCTTCTTATACGGGATTATATTTTACGTATATGTGTGTATCTGTTATAAGCAGCTTAGTGGGGTGGGTGGCTTTGAGCAGCGAAAGAGAGTGAAAGTGGGCAAGAATCCTCTCCAAGGGTGTCGAATTGGCCGTAGAGATGAATCAACGGTGAGAGCCCTGGATTGGTGACTCTAGGCGTCATGAGGCAGTGCTTCTGCTGGTTTCCAATGCCACCGCTGGAGCTCGTGCCACTGATGGGTGGTTTGGCAGTCAGGATCGAGCAGCAGTAAACACCCTGTGCTAGAGACTACAGCCGTGGAGAGGTAGTGCTTCTGATAAATTCCGATGTCACCGCTGGAGCTAGTATCACTGGTGAATGGTTGAGCAGTGACTCACAACAGTCAAAGAAAGCCCGTTGCCAGTATTCGAGGTGAGACTCGACTACTAGCGCCAAAGAGCTTTGATAATTTTTCTGATTCTCACAGTAGTTGGACAACAGTAACACGTAGTGGAAATAATGATGGCAAGAGTGGGTAGAGTAAGAGTCAAAACACTGAGTTTAATGTGCTATTATACGTAGGTATTTTATTCATATTAATTGGTGCTCTAGCTACTGCCGTAGCGTAGGTCTCATCGAGTGAGCGAGAACCTAGCTTTGGCTTCGATCAAGTGATCTGGGAGGATGATTCCAAGATGTCGCGCAGCCCTTCTTAGAAGTTTTAAGACTCAAATTTATGTAAAACGATGAAATAAAGGATGATAGTTATTTTAATAATTAATAATTAATAAAATGATATCCCAGACGGTAACATATCTAATATTTGCTTTTACATACCAGTTACAACATTGACTTACACCACCTTTAATACCTCTTTTGATAAATAATAACATATCTGTATCGGTGAGAAGCTCTCTTTTGACTTGTGTATATTTTAACATGGCTTCCTATGTTAAACCTGTTGTTGTATAGTAGTGTACAGGATCAAGTCCGTATGTGTTTATACAAGTTGCACAAAAAATTTTGAAAACATCTGCAAGCAATAATACGTCAGACGACAAGTACAAATCTGAGTATTCGGACCGTACAACAGTTTGAAAGAGGCGTCTGCCTTGGCAACAGTTGGAGTCACTGGACCAAAGATGATGCATGGAAGTAAGTGACAGTTTATCATTAATAATTTAATCTCACAAATGTATTGAGTTAGAAGACGTTTATAGAAGTATTTGAATGAAAGGAATTAAATAATTTTTCCTTGTCTGTGATAACCTTATCCATTTTTTCTGAAAACAAATGTAACAAAAAATATATAACCTTAAAGAATATTTGCTAAAAGAATAAATAAGATAATAGAAACTTTATTACTGCTTGTATACTCGTCTTCTTACTTGATAGATTTGTAAGATTGAATTATTAAAGAAACATTGTCACTTACTTCCGTGCATTATCGCCAGTCTAGTGACTCTAACTATTGCCAGTGGTGGCGCTCTTTTAAATTGTTGCACGGTCCTAATTAGACAAGAGATTTGACCTAAATGTTTTCAGAGATGTTACTCTCGGTAAGTTTGCTATAAGAGTCACCTTCACTCGGAAATTGAACATCTTTGAGCTTCTCGAAAAAACTGACGTAGTTATAGGGAATAACACCTTTCCTTAATAATAACTTTATTTTATCTTGAGTGTAACCATCTTGAAAAAATACGATCCGAATTATATTGTATCGATCTAAGTAAGATGCTAGCTTTCCCAAGGATGACGGCATAAATCTGACTAAGTTAATGAATCTGAAGATGATATCACTACCATCAATATATTTTGTAAAAGATATGTATTTTTCAGCAGTTAGTATGACACGACCTTTGAAATCTGCAGCTATCGCTATTTTATTTATTATGAAGTGAGAGTCAGATCCAGCCAGATTATAAAACATAACAGGTATGTATCTTGAATTTTTAAAGTTAATGTAACATCTTATATAAGCAGCTCCGTTACATTTTCCCTTAAATGGCAATGATTTTTCACTCTATTTCTTTTTTCTAAAGGTTTTTCCACAAAAATAAAATGATTTTGCAAATGCGATGTTCAACATTCCTTCATTCGTAAGATTTATTGGCTTTTGTTGTTTATATATTAAGTCTAGTTCATCGACAAGAGCCTTAGAGTTATCCACAAATCTCTTTGCAGGAGATGTAGCTCCATCAATGTTAACCTATTGTCATAGCTATAATAAACTAAGCGTGCACCTTCAAAACTGCACTAAAAATAATATTTAATACAGTTGACTTGATTTTTTTGAAATTTGTGATCATTACTTTTAACTGGTTTCGAAAGTCACTCAAAGTCAGCATATATACTATACGGAGCTTTTTCTTTATAATAAAAACTATTACACTGTAGCACACTTTGACTCTTAGTAATGAGTATTACTTACCAACTGCTACACCGACGGTTTCGTGTTTTTGAAGTTTATATATTTAGTGTCAAGGAAATTCAAACATCTATCATAAGTAAAGCCCTAACGTTCATTACTTGTTAATTGACTTCTAACTGAACGTGACAAATTTTCAATTTACACATAGTAAATCTTAAGTTCTGGAAAACTCATTTCACTAGCAGCTTCATCATGTTCTTATATTTCTTCCTCATTTTTATCAGTAACGTAATTCTGAACGTGTAATAAATTGACATGCTTTTCTTTCTTCACTAAAGATATGTTGTATTAAGCAACGTTGCAATTATTTCCAACTTTTTGAAGAATGTAAGCGTTCATGGATACAGGATTTTGTTTTTCAAATTTTCCAATATCTTTCGCTAATACTGGGATCTTTTTACCATTAACGTAAAGTTGCTTTTTATACAATATCTACTAATTAAAATTAAAGCATACTTTGTAAGAAAGTATTTAATTTTACTACTCTGAGAGTCATTTTTATGCAGTACATACACGGAGAGAACAAACAAAGTACTATTCTATGGTCCTAAAACCTAATAATTGCTCAGTTACTTTTTCGTGTAATATTTCCCTAAATAAAAGTGATAATAGTCTGAAATTCACGTAAAAATCAGTAAAGTCAGTAACTTGGCAATAATACGACAAACATGCACAGTTTACCCAGTACTGATCATCCCGTGCTCATCATGAAATTTTCTGGTAGCGTACAGGCAGTAATCGTGTATGAAGGTGTAAAGATTCTGTTAATACATATGTATATA